TCGAGATGTGTGTCCTGCAGGAGGGACGTGGAGGGGACCCGTCCTAAGCAGTGGGCATCGGCGAGGCGAGGTCGGGCTTTTGAGACAGATGCCCTGAGTTCCAGGCCGCCTCCCTCACTCGCTGACTCGCGGGCGCGTGGTGCCTTGGTAGCCCCTGCGTGGCGGTGACCTCGCCTGTGAGGTGGGAAATAATCGCGGGCCTCGTAGTGCACGTGAGCGAGATAGCGGGCAGTGACGAGATAGGGTGTGAGGGTGTGACCGGGCGGGGGGTGAGGAGGATGGGTGGATGTGTGCTCAGCACCGTGGTTGGCTGACGTCACTCTGGGTCCTTGTTGGGGGCCTGCTTGTCACCGTGCCCCACCTTGTGCCTGCTGTATCCTGAGGGTCTCCGCCTCCAGGCAGTCTGGATGGAGAACAGCTGGGGAGGGAGAGAACACCCCGTCCCTGTGAAGCGCATCAGAAGAGAAGAGCCTAAGCGAGGTAACACACTCTGAAACACGTTCATGTCTCCGTAGAAAGCAGAGAAGACAGAGGTTTAGAGTGGCCAGGAAAGGCTCCCTGAGAGGTCGTTGGGGACAAAACCCCATGAAGTGTGTCCGTGATGTCACACCACAAGGTGACAAGACTGCTCCGACACAGGGCACGGAGCAAGGCCCTGCAGATACTCTCGTCCAGGAGCTCCCCGCAGGGCAAATGTCTACCGCCTCCCGGCAAACTCATGCCAAACTGGAATCCCCTTGGGACAGCGTTAGGACGTGGGGTCTTGGCCAGCCCGGCTGATGTGACTGGTACTGACCCACGGTGCTGGAAGCCTCGGGGCTGACCACTGGCTCAGGCCCCAGGGTGGCCTGAGAGCGTGCCAGGTGCGTGCCTGTGTGCCCAAGATTCTGACGAGCTGGAGGGCTGGGAGAAGGGGCCTGCAGCGTGCCATACCCCAGGGAGGGTGCGTCCCTCTGCCTGCTTTTCTCCGTCTTGTACACTTGCACACTCACTCTCACGCAGATGAGAAAGGAGGTGGAGCTTTGCAGAGGCAACTGGGCCCAGGAGGCAAGCCCGGCTGCATCGCTCCACGTCCTTCCTGTGGGACGTGCCAGTCACAGCGGGAGGGCCTCCATGCAGTTCCTCCTCTACCTTCCACCCGTCACTACGGCCTGGCCCTCATAGACACCGTGTCCTAGGGCTTCCTTGGCTCCAGAACCATGAGCCCTATATACTGTCTTCCAAACGAGCCGGGCCTGGGGCTTCCCTTACAGCCACGGAGACACAGCAAGGTCAGGGCTACAGCCCGCCCCTCTCCGGCATCGGCAGCACACAGCAAGGTCAGGGCTACAGCCCGTCCCTCTCCGGCATCGGCAGCACAGCTCTCGCGTGTGTTCGGTGATTCTTGGCCCACGGGGACCGCAGTTCAGTTCCCCACTAAGCCGTGCACACCAGGTGTGGGTGCCCACGGCCCTGGCCGGCAGAGGTTCATGGCAGGAACCCTGGTGAGGGTGCATGTGTCTGTCTCCCTGTTTTTCTCTCCACCTCTCTCACTAAAGAAATTTAACACACTGTATGTAATTCATTCCTCTTCAAGGGATAGGTAGGCGGACGTCCTTAGACATCTTTGAAGTGGTTCATTCAGTGGATCAAGTCAGTACCAGCCATACCTTTCACATAACGACACACAGTTAAACTTACAGAGTTACGACTACAAACCTAGAACATGTTCAATGGCAATTTCAGAAACACTTGACTCCTTTAAGGAAGGAGACAGACAAAGCCAGATGTAACATTTCACTCATACCTCGATTATCAGCAACAGTGGTTAGACATTCATCTCGGCAAACTTTCTGGGACAGTGTTTACCCCAAGTACCACGACAAGCGACAATGCAGAAGGGGAGTCGAGCACAGTAGAGTGGAACTGCATTCCCAAAGGGATGTCACCTATAGCTGGAAATCCACAAAGGTCTTCGCAGACAAGTAAACTCGTAGGGCCTGAGTCTGCGACTGCGGTGAGGGAGCCTTTCCACATTCGGGACTACTAGCTTTGGTGATCAGATAAGCGACCGTGTCCGTTTTTCTCCAACTGGTCTAGAGGGTATCGGTGATGGTTTGCATATACCCCACAAGTCCCAGTGCTGAAATTTGTTGCTACTGTGAGAGTATTAAGAGGTGTGAATGTCATTATGGTATCAAGAAATGGAGTTTTTCTTCGACTGGTCTAGAGGGTATCGGTGATGGTTTCATATACCCCACAAGTCCCAGTGCTGAAATTTGTTGCTACTGTGAAAGTATTAAGAGGTGTGAATGTCATTTGATTATGGTATCAAAAAATGGAGTCTATGAGAGGTCACCGAGGTTGGATAAGGTCATTGGGGACCCCCTGATCGACACCAGAGGCTTTGTAAAAATAGGGAAGACCGGGGGTGCTCGCCTCTCACCGCGCCACGCCGGGGCCACCTCAGGACTCTGCAGCTACCTCCGTCAGAGGGCAGCCCCTCGCCAGCTGTGGCCCTAGGACCATGAGGTGGACTGACCTCCGTTCTTCATAAACTACCTGGCTCTGGTACTCAGTTATATCGACAGAAAACTGGTAGGAAACAGTGTCTAAAGGGAAGAAGTTGGAGATGGGGGCAGTGTGGGCCATGCTGCCGGGGACCGCTCATGCAGAGGGACATGCAGGCATGTTCTTCCCACAGGTGGTGAGGACTTGGTCTCAAAGCACGGGAAGTGTAATGTCAGAAAGAAGGTTCCTGGGCCCGGCCCTGGTGCCTCCAGCCTTGCCGAGGGATCCTGGGGCCATGGGGAGCGACTTGGACACATGCGGTCCCGATGGCCCGGAAGGCTGTGTGCGCTGAGCGGGGGACATTCCCTCATTAAGGCCCTCTGTCCCTCTCATGAAAGAAAGAAAAGAACTTAAAAAAAAATAAAGAAAAATCTGTGAGTAGTTAGTGAGACTATGAATTCCTGCATAATTAGGCCCGGAGTGTCGCTTTCTGAGTAGATGACGTGACAGGCAGGAGACTCTCAGGCGCGTGTCGAACTGTGGCGGCCCATGGTGCCTCGTGGTGCCCTCGGCTGTGGCCGTGTTTGCCTGTGTCACACACTAGCAGAGACCCAGCCTCTGGAATGTGTGCGGCCCGGGAGTGGGAGGGACGGACGGGAGCTGGGTAAGCGGGCACTGCCCCGAGTCCGGGCTGGCAGAGCACCGGGCCCTAGGTCTGTGCTGGCGGCCGCTGCCAGGATGGGCCTTCATCGCAGGCTCATTGTCTTCCCAGCTCCTTTTCTGGTACGTGTCACGTGGCCACTGAGCCCGGACATCGTGGTGGGAACGACACGTCGTGTTTGACCTGTAACTGTGGCCCGTGAGCTCCGCAGGACCTGGGGGCAGCGGTCCTTGGGACGCTCGAGGTGGTGGCCTTTGCTTGTTGTCTGGGCTGCTCTGTCTAGGGTGGCCTGGGCCGCCTGGTCAGGAGGGCTCCCGAAAAAGCCTGCGGTGCTGCAGCCTCCCCTCCACCAGACGCCAGCTGGTGCTCTTGGTCGGCTCCCCAGGTCCCGGCTGGTGCCCCCCGTCGGCTACCCAGGCCCCAGGTGGAGCCGCTTTCGGCTTGGGGGACATCCTGCGAGCAGGCATCCCCAGAAAACCAAGGGCAAGCTGAAGCTGCAGGCCCTCAGTGACCTCATCATGGGAGGCCCGATCACTTCCTTCCACCGTGTCCTGTGGTTTGCTCACGTGATGGGGCGGGTGGCACTGGAGGGCTCTGTGGCCAGGTGTGTGGCCAACAGGCCCGCAGGGCGTGGGGAGACGTGGAGTAAGACGACTTACAGGCTCTTCCGGACTGAGGACGCGGGGTTTGGGTGCGCTCCTAATATCTCCTGGACACTGTGGAAGGGCGGATGGGAGGAAGGAGGGAGAAGGGAAGGCGAGCGACTGGAGAGGACAGAGGGCGGGCAGGGATGGGTCTTCCAGATGCCCTCTGGTTCCATTGTGCTGGGACCGGCGCTCGCTGGGGGCTGGGGCGTGATGGATTCAGGGTTGCAGGGCTGGGCGAGCAGCTCAGGGCGGGGACCCTCTGTCCTCAGAGGTCGGTGCCGGGGGTCGGCG